AGCTGTTACGCAGAGAGAACAGCTGTTACACACGGAGAACAGCTGTTACACACGGAGAACAGCTGTTACACATGGAAATCAGCTGTTACGCAGAGAGAACAGCTGTTACGTAAAGAGAACAGCAGTTACACAAGGAGATCAGCTGTTGCACAGAGAGATCAGCTGGTAATCGGGCCAACCGGTAGCGAGTCAGAACAGTTCTGACATTATCACTGGTTCTGCATTATCTGATTCATTAAAGGCTGCGACAATATACAGACACGCCCAGAGTTTAAGACGTGGTATTTTTCTTTAACTAAACATTAAATACCAACATGGCTGCCACCTCAAACAGGAAGGTTAACACTGCAGGTCTGACTAGTTTTATTCTGTAATGAGAAAAACAGGAAAATCAAATAAGGTTCTCTCCAAACACCTGAAGACAAATTACACTTAACAAAAATAAATGGAACAGAAAGTATAATCTCTGTCAATATTTAATATTATTTTAGCAGCATAAGCAGGTACAGCTTTTCATCATCAAAACATCAGCAGAACGTCATGGTTTTATTTCTGGATATCCTGTCTTGAACGTCTCTCCAGGTTCTGTGGGAAGCAGAAACTCTTCTGAATGTTTTGAACCCATGAAGCAGATCTTCAGTAGTTTTGTTTTCTAAATGCCCGTTTAACCTTTGATCCACAGACAGGAAGCCTCGTCATGTTGCTCTGCGACATGCCGTTGCAGCCGCTCCCTAGCTGCCTGTCCTTTCATGTTCATTAAGCAGTAGCTGCAGTTCCGTCTCCTCCTGCTACGCTGACAGCTTTGGCTTCTTTCATCCGGCTGCCGTCTTTCGTGGCGGAGGTCATGGTGGGCGGGATCAGGCTGTCCAGTTCCTGTCGGTGGCCGGTTTCTAGAAGCCACTCATGGAACTTTAACTCCACCAACTCCTGGAACTGTTGTGTCTGCTCCCTGCAAACACAGAAGCACAGAGACAAACCCATTTCAGCAAAAGTATTCACACCCCTTAAAGTTTCCTCACATCCTAACATGATGGAGCAAATGATGGTGAAGAGGAAGGACTGTAGAGCCAAAGATCGATGTTTAGGGTGAAAGCATCATGCTGTGGGGATGTGATCAGGAAGGACCTAAACCTGATAGATCCATCTTTCTGCTGGTTGGTCCATTTCCAGGACTCATTTGAACAGTTATGAGGGTGTGAATACTTTTCTTTCCTGAACAAATTCTATCCAGTATCAGAGATCTGATTGTTCCTTATGTTCCTAACAGAGCACTTCGCTCTCAGTCTGCAGGTTTACTAGTGGTTCCTAGAATTTCTAAAAGTAGAATGGGAGGCAGATCTTTTTAGTTATCAGGCTCCTCTCCTGTGGAACCAACTACCAGTTTAAGTCTATGAGGCAGACACCCTGTCTACTTTTAAGGCTAGCCTTAAA